TTTCTAACATGTTTGGTAGAAAATGAGCCACGGACTTATACGGAAGTCGTAACGTCTACCGAAGGACCAATGTGGAAAGAAGCCATCAAAAGTGAGGTGGATTCTATCCTAAAAAATCACACATGGGAATTGGTTGATCTTCCTCCGGGATGTAAACCTTTGGGATCCAAGTGGATTTTTAAACGTAAAATGAAACCTGACGGTTCCATTGATAAGTATAAGGTCAGACTTGTAATCAAGGGATACAAGCAACGTGAGGGCCATGATTACTTTGACACGTATTCTCCGGTGACGAGAATAAATTCCATTAGGATGATACTAGCAATTGCCGCTTTGCGGAATTTGGAAGTTCATCAAATGGACGTAAAAACCGCTTTTCTAAACGGCGATATAGACGAAGAAATCTATATGGAACAACCTGAGGGTTTTCGTGTTCCAGGCCAAGAAAAGAAGGTTTGTAAATTAATTAAATCATTGTACGGATTGAAACAAGCCCCTAAACAGTGGCACGAAAAGTTCGATCATGCAATGTTAATTAATGGGTTTAAAATAAACGAAAGTGACAAATGCGTCTATGTGAAAAGCACGGTAGACGGCTATGTCATTTTATGTTTATACGTGGATGATATACTCATCGTGGGTAGCAATAATCTAATGATTAATTCTACCAAAAGCATGTTAAATTCTAAATTTGACATGAAGGATATGGGGCTGGCCGATTTAATCCTTGGGATTAAAATAATTAGGGGACCTGAGGGTCTGACGCTAAGCCAATCTCATTACGTTGATAAAATCCTTACTAAATTTAATAAGGATGATTATCAAGAGGCAAGGACGCCATTAGATAAAAACGTACACCTGACCAAAAATCGTGGAAAGTGTATTTCTCAAGTAGAATACGCTAGGATTATTGGCAGTTTAATGTATCTAATGAGTTGTACCAGGCCTGATATTGCCTTTGTGGTTAGTAAGCTTAGTAGATACACTAGCAACCCCGGTGATGAACACTGGAAGGCAATAGTAAGGGTTTTGAGGTATTTACGAAAAACCCAAAACCTTGGACTGCACTACGGAAGATATCCAGCTGTACTTGAAGGGTATAGCGACGCTAGTTGGATATCTGACATTAAGGACTCAAAGTCCACGAGTGGATATGTTTTCACTTTGGGAGGTGCAGCCGTGTCGTGGAAATCCTCAAAACAAACGTTGATAGCTAGATCCACGATGGAATCTGAGCTAATAGCCTTGGATAAGTGCACTGAAGAGGCTGAATGGCTACGCCATTTTCTCGAGGATATTCCAAGTTGGGAGAAGCCTGTCCCTCCAATATGCATACATTGCGATTGTCAGGCGGCAATTGGAAGGGCACAGAGCAATCTCTATAATGGTAAGTCTAGACACGTCCGTCGTAGACATAATACCATTAAACAACTTCTCACAACGGGTGTTATAACTGTTGACTACGTGAAGTCAAAGGATAACATAGCGGATCCGCTAACCAAGGCATTGGATAGAGAATTGTTGGAGAAGTTGATACGAGGAATGGGATTAAAGCCCGTGAATTGAAAAGTTCTATAGTGGATACCCAACCTAGTTGGTCCTAGGTTCAAATGGGACAACTAAATTATAGAGCGAAGGATGGTCACTGTGGGGGTCCCGGACTCCTACCCACTCCTCGTTGAAACAGTGACTCCCGCACGAGGTTAGCAAAAACGTTTGCTTTAATGATTCTAAAATGTTGATCTACTCGATAACATTGGAAGAGTATGCGGGATACTCGTGAAAGAATCACCTATGTGAGAGAGAAGAGGGCCGCTTCAAAGGAGAACTGTAAAGGCTCAGTTCTTTAGAAACTCTTGCAGAACCAGGACGGTGACCCATGGCCAAAACGGGCACACCCATGAGAACGGAACAAAGTTGGAAGGTTCTTGTGTAAAGATAAGTCAATGTTTACACGACGGCAGTATAGTTCAAAGACATCGAGTCTACTAGACAGCCAGTAAATAAACGAGTCTTTACGACGGAAGGTTCAAAGGATTAAACCTACCTCTCCGTATACAAGGATCATCCGGTGAACACAACGTGTCCTCCTATCTTCGTGTCTTTTTAAGTCTCGAAAATCAATTTTCATTCATGTGGGGGATTGTTGGAAAAATGTGTGAAAAATTGCATTAAATGGCTATTTTGGGGCAATTTTCTGAGTGGGGTCCACTTCCGATTTGGGTCGGGTCAAAGTGGTTTCGGATTGTCCTTGTTAAGGGCTACAATTCGATATATGGTACGCTCAAAACGGATAACGGGTGAATGAGAAATCGCTTTTCGAAGTTTACCCGTTAGAATGGAAAAACTGGGAAAAAGGATGGGTTTCTAGTGTTAATTTCCCACACCGGAAAACCCAAGGGATTTGCAACCCTTTATAAAGGGACTCCCCCTTTAAGGAGTTAAGATTCCTTAGGGTAGAGGCTCTCTCCACGCGCGCAGGGGGGGGGGGGGTGCAAATCAAATCCCGAATTCGGAGAAGAAAAACCGCGACTTGCGTGCGCGGGCGACCGGGTAATTTTTGTTTTCTTCCCGAAACGTATATTTTTCCCAGTTAGCAGAATTGCTCCGGGCAGAAGGCCACGACCAGAGGTGCTCCGGTTCTGATGGCCGCGCATCAGAACTGCTCCAGTTCTGATGGCCTTCGGGCAGAGATGCTCCGGTTCTGATGACCGCGCATCAGAACTGCTCCGGTTCTGATAACCGCGCATCAGAATTGCTCCGGTTCTGATGGCCTTCGGGCAGAACTACGTAGGGGTCTTCTGATGGCTTCTGAACCGTTACAACAATTAATGCCCAACGTTCTTATCTTTTAATGCAGCGTTAAATGGACAGTTCATGGACGATTCAATGCCCAACGGACTGGTCATTGATGTCCAACGTTCAGGTCCATTAATTCACTATTTTTCGTACAACAAATCCTCCTATATAATGGCTGGCAGGTGGTTTGCAACAACATATGTTCTTACATGTTCTTACACGTTCTTACACGAATTCATACACGTTTTAGCTCTAAAAACACACTGCTAGCATTCTGAAAATTTCCTTAGTGTTCAGACTTGTTCTCGTTCGCTGGAACTTTTGTTTGTGTGCTCAAACATTAGTTCGTAGTCATCGTATCCTGGGAAACGATTGTTGCAACGCTCCTAGCACCGTGGGAGGCAACAAATACGTTTTAAGGACATCGTGCGTAGCACGAGCTTTGACTAATTCTGCTTCATCTCCTTTCTTGTTTTTCTCCAGTCATTTTATTTAATTAATTAATTTTAATTAATTTTCTTTATTTTCCGAAACACACCCAACAGTAACGTGACCCTTCTGATTCATGTTCAGAAGGTGCCCCTTCAGTATCTTCAATAATGCCTTCTTCCTCTTCGCTCGAAGTGTCATCCTCAACTAAACCCTCAGCTCCACGGTACGTTGTGAAATTCCCTACGCCACTGCCTTTATCCATACTAGACCTTTTTCTTGTCATATTAACTATTCTGTACATCATCAATACCACATAACTAAAAACAAAAGAAATACAAACCATATGTTGATTTCACAAAAACTTTTATAGAGTAGCTGTCCCCCCTTTGTGCTTGTATTCAGTCCTTGTTCATTTCATACATTCAATAAACCCTAATTCTCAATTCTTGATAGTTTCTAGTTCCATTACTTTCCGAACTGTTCTGATTCTTACAGTATCTTATCATGGTAATGCTTTTAAGGTGTTGGGGTAGAGAACTTACCCTGGTGGCAGAAAAGTAGAAAATGCACATAAGGAATAAGAAATTAAAAACAATGTACCTGGTAAGCAAACACGGTTCTTTGATCTCTTTCTGGATCAGCCTCTGGCTCCACTGTCTCCTTCTTGTCCTTAAATCTCCTACATTAATTACTTAGAGCATAATAAGTATAATGAATTCAATAGTCCAGTCTTAAATGTGCAAACAATTATATTGACCTTTGATTTAATGCTGAAGAACTACCCTTACACTTGATTCCTTTTTCTATTACAAAGCATACATCCAAACAAACCGAGTAACCTAGAATGCAAAGTTTTAATGCTCGAGCCTGAATTTACTCCAAAATTTGTGTATTAGTTAGTATATTTAATATGGAGTATACAAATAACAGCATATGATGAACAGAATTAAGTCATTCCGCTTACACCTTTAATTTTCAGTTGGTACAAAGTAGTATATACCAGACTATCCGTATGCAAAATAAAGTAGAGAAAGAGGTAAATAAAACACATTGAAAAGCTTTAAAGAAGTTAAATTAGGTTTATTACATATGAACCTTTTGGTTCTACTTAAAATCGGTAACGAAGGGTAAATAAAACAGAGAAAGAGTAAGCTTACACAGTCACAGAGCAAATGCAGTGAGGAAGTGGGCGGTAGGGACTTGCGTATGCTGCAATTGGTCGGGAATCGTCACAGAGCTCTCCATCGTCTTGGGTCAGGAATCGTCACAGAGCTCTCCATCGGCTAGGGTTGTGTTTGAAATTGTGATTTAGAAGTGAAGCCACTTCGATCGGTGGGATAATTTTTTTTTATGTAATTTACCGACGGAAATTTCCGTCACTAAAATGGTTTTAGTTTCTTTTGCGACGGTGTTTACCGTCACTAAACCCGTTTATTTATTGTATGCTTTTATTTACTTGTTAAAGCCTGTTTGGTAGAACGGAAATGGGGTGATTTGGCGGATTCTGCTCAAATTTATGAAATTCTGGCTGAAGTGGCTGCATTAGCTGATTCTGCTAATTAAGAAAAAATCATTTTAAAATATATGTTATTAATAAAATAAATAAAATATTATATATAAAAATATTTAAAATGGTCATCAATAGTAACTTATGAACATATATGCCTGTAACAAATACAGGTATATTATATTATGAAAACAAATAAAATTTATAGTAGAACACATACAATGGGATGAATATATGAATAAGTATTCTCGTACATAAAAAAGGACAATTAAATTTCCATAACAAATTACACCAAAAAAGCAATTAATTTATTATCAAATTACGAATTATTTAAATTTCGAATTCCACTTGAACATAGATCCAATAAAGAGTTACATATGCTTATGATGCCACTTCACTCTTCTTCATTGTCAGTGTCTTCTTCTTGTTCATCTTCATGGTCTTCATCACTTTCATACGCATCCGTGAAGTTAATTTGTGGGCCGTACTCTTCCACGTAATCAACGAGTTCTGGACTCACGTCTTCTGTTACGGTCCCTGCTTCAATTACTTCTTCTATAGGGACTGTTATTTGTAGTCCTCCGTCTTGCAACTCAATGAATTCTTCCGTTATTTCAACAATAGGAGGAGGTTGTGTTTCATCAATTTGATAGGGAGAATCATCTACATCTTTCCATTGACCCTCAATTGTCCTTCTGGATTTAACTTTGCAAGCACATTTCCATCCTCTCGCATTTACTCCTCGGGAACCTGGGTATTCCAAAAAGAACACCTGACTAGCTTGTTGTGCTAGTATGAAAGGCTCAAAAACCTTATACACACATTCTAACTTCACATCCACAATGTTATACTTGTTATGTATTTGCATTCCTCGCACAGGGTCAACCCATTTACATTTAAAAAGCACAACTCGAAGTGGATGCGGACAGAGTATGTCAACTTCAAGTATCTCTTCCAAAGTACCAATCCAATCTGTGGTTGCATTGTTAAAATTTGAAGAGCGCACACAGATTCCACTGTTGAATGTTTTTTTCCGAGCTCCATAAGATGTCGTGTGAAATGTGTACCCACCAACTATATATGCTGGCCATGCTCTTGCAAGTGAACTTATTCCACCCGCTAGAGCTCTAATAAAAGGGTCAGATACTCCATTGCAAGGATTGAGTACCTATAATTATAAATACATTAAATGTTTTTCTCTTCAATACATATGTGTCTTAGTATAGGAAACAGATTCGATGGCACTTACATATGCAGTGTACCAATCAGAAAAATTGTTTGCAATGATAAGATCAATGTTTGTATGCCCTTGCGATTGAAGAAAATATACAAATTGACTGCGTACAACATACAACTCAAGGTTTCAATGTTATGGTGTATTAATCACAACATATATAATTAATAAGAAAACTTGTAATTTAGAAAACATACTCATAGTAAGGTCGAACTTCAGCACAGTTGAGTAAGATGTACGTGTATGCCACTTTCATTTCCTCACCAACAATAAAGCGCTTCTTGGATTTCCCATTACCACGACCTGGATGATTGAAAATCGAAAAAGCCATCGGCCCTGAAGAAGAAGCGGCTTCATCGTGTCGAGCAAAACGCATACGTTTGGATCGTATAGAAGAGTCGAAGTAATATGAGGCGAACGTTGATAACTCTTCATCAATATATGCACTACATATTGATGCTTCAATGTGTGCTTTGTTTGTTATTTTTTTCTTTAGAGTTCCAAGAAACCTGCAATGGTATTATTAAAAAAAGTATAGACCATTATTATATATACATATATATATATATATATTCATATATGATATGTTATCATATAATGATATGTACCTCTCAAACATATACATCCATCGATATTGTGGTGGACCGCAAACTCTAGCTTCATACGGCAAATGGATGATTAAATGTTCACTTACATCAAAGAAGCCAGGTGGGAAAACTTTCTCCATGTTGCAAAGAAGAAGAGGGACAGTTTTCTCTAATTGTCGAAGTATTTCAACATCTACAACACGAGTACATAGAGTTTGGAAGAATTGACTCAATTCAGCAACTAATTGCCACACTGTACTTGGTAAACTCTCCCGAAATGCAATTGGTATGAGGCGTTGCATGAAAACATGACAGTCATGACTTTTCATGTGTATTAAACTCAGACCATCCGAACTAATGCATCTTCGAAAGTTGGATGTATATCCATCAGGGAATCGAATTGAAGCTATCCAATCCTTTATGATTTTTTTTTGCGCTGTGGAAACGGTGTATATAGCCTTGTTAAGCTTATCCGTGTAATCCGCTGCAACTCCTATCCCTGGAAGATCACAGTACAATGCTACATCTTTCCTGGCCATCAAATTATCTTTTGTCCTATCTTTGTCGTTCATTAGAGTATAAAATAAATTGTCAAACACATTCTTCTCAATGTGCATAACATCTAAATTATGTCTAACTAATAAACTTCCCCAATAAGGTAATTGCCAGAAAATGCTCCCCTTTGTCCATTTGTGACTATCTCCATAACCCGAGGGTAGTTCATTAGGCTCTTGCACCGCTGTCGGTATCATACGTACATGTTCAAATATTTGGTGTCCGGATAATCTTACCGGAGGATGATCAATATCCCGCTTTCCTTTTTTAAAAGAATGAATGTCCCTTCGATAAGGGTGTTTGCGTGGTAAGAACTTTCTATGGCAATCAAAGTAACATGGCTTACGCCCATTCTTAAGCCATGTTGCTTTGTTACCTTCCATACAAATAGGGCACCCCAAGAGTCCTGCTGTACTCCAACCAGACAACATTCCATATGCAGGAAAATCGCTTATCGTCCACATTAGAATGGCATGCATTGAGAACATGGAATTCGACGCAACGTCATATGTCATTGAACCCTCTTCCCACAAATGTTGCAATTCGTCAACAAGAGGTTGTAAGTAGACATCAATTTTCTTTTTTGGACATATAGGCCCTGGAATAATGAGCGATAAAAACATGTAGGGATATTTCATACACATACCGGGAGGCAGATTGTACGTCGTTAGGATGACGGGCCAACAAGAGTACGATGCACCATATTGTCCATGTGCGGCAAAACCATCAGAGCATAATCCAAGGCGTACATTTCGAGGCTCCGCAGCGAAGTCTGGATACATCATGTCAATATGTTTCCATGCCTCACTATCACAAGGATGACCCATCAAAGTTCCGGTTGCTTCGTGCATCGCATGCCACTTCATCTCTTCGGCTGTTTGCCGTGATGCATATAACCTTTGTAGTCTTGGTGTCAAGGGCAAATATCTCAATACAGAAACAGCGGTCCAATTTCGTCTTTTGGTTTTGCATTGTTCATCCTCCTGCAACTTATACCGATGCTCACCACAAAATGAACAATGTGTTAACTCTTTATCACCCTTCCAAAATAACATACACCCATTACGACAAGCATCAATATTTATCACTGGAAGACCCAAGTTGGAAGTAAGTTTTTTGGTCTCATAGTAATTCCATGGGGCGGTGTGGTCACGAGGTAAATATCGTCCGAATAATTCCAACCATCGATTTACTTCATCCCGAGGTACATTAAAGTCAGATTTTATACTCATTACCTCAGAGACAAATTGTAATTGTGACCCTTCAAGACATCCCTCATATAAAGGTTGATCTGCTGCTTGTAGAACATTTTGAAATTGATCTGCCAAATATGACACATCGTTTACATTTGGAGAATCATTATTATAATCCTCACCTGTGCTTTGGGGAGTATAGTTCGTGGCGTCCACCGGCGGCACGTATCCAGCAAAAATATCTCCAAGCATTCTTTGATCCCAGGGTGTTTCAGGTTGACTTCCCGAAGGCGAAGAAATGTGGACAACATGACTTTCATCTCCTTCAGAGGAGAGAATTTGATTCTCCGGTACTGGCGGTGCTTGAAATTCGAACAATTCACCATGAGATGTCCAAATATAATAATCTGCAACGAATCCATGTCGAAAAAGATGAAGTTTGACGGTTTCTGTGTCATAGAAACATCGATTTTTACATTTTCGACATGGACAACGAATATTTTCTCCACTCATAAATTCATGTTGAACTCTAGCAAATTCAACAAAACTCTTTACACTACTGATAAATTTATCAGAAACATTTTTGGTAAGTGGATCATATCTTTCATACATCCAACTTCTATCTGTTCGAAACATTTTTGGAGCTGATGAGTCGAGATGTTGTTCTTTCACTTTGGTCGGATGCATTGTATATTGTATATTTGGGGAAGAAGCTCAAACATATGGAATAGGGACGGAAATTTGAAACCAGATCGGGCAGCAACGGAAATGGGACGGAGTTGCGACGGAAAATTATTTTAACGTTTGCGACGGTTTTTACGACGGATTAGCGATGGCACCGTCGCTAAACCGTCGCTATTTCCGTCTCTGATTTCCGACGGTTCTTTCCGTCGCTATATTACCGTCGCTAATTGAACGTTTTTTTGTAGTGTGTATTCTCCCTAAATCTCCTCCGATCCTTAGAAGATCTACTACCAGTCTATGGAGTCTTGGACGTTGGAGGTTGCTTGAGTGCTTAAGCCAGAGTAACAGGCCGTGGAGGCGGTGACTCTGGAGGTTCAAACGGCGGAAATAGATGCCCAGATCGGAGGTGTGTGACTATGAGTGCCGAGGCAATTGGAGGTCGTTGCTTCAATGGAGGAAAGGAGGTGGAGGCCATGGATTCTAGGGCACTTGGAGGTTGCTCCAATGGAGGAGGCGGTGGTTGAGGCCACAGCTGTGGTGGCCGGAGGTGGTGCGAACGGAGCTAGTGCGGCGAAGGTGAGGGCCGTGAGGCCGATCACGGAGGTGGATGCTATGGATGTCGGGGAAGCATTCCAATGGAGGAGACGGAGGGGAGCTCTCGGAGGTGGTAGCCGGAGTCTGTTCTAGTGAGAGGAGGTTGGTATTGGCAGAAGAGAATGAAAGGTTTTGGGCCTATTAGTTGACCGGAAAGAGAGAGCAAAAGGAAAACAAAAATAAAAAGGAAATGAGAGAAAAAAATCCACGTAAGCAGTTTACCTAGAACCGGAAGTTGACTGGTTAAAAAGCCTATTTGAGAATTTTATATGGGTTGGTGGGTCTGATTGAGTGTTTTTTAAGTTGAGGGGCTCAATTGACTTTTTTCAAACAGTAAGGGGGGCTCATTTGACAGTTTTCTCATCACATATGTAGCTGAGATGAATGGTAGTTTAATTAGCACTTTTCGGTTAATGTATTGATATATATGTAATGTATCATAATGTTCACACAACTAATGACTGAATAAGATGTATTATTTTTAAATTTAAGAATATAATCATCGTCACACATCAAATTTTGTTTATTTCAAGTTAAGATGGTGTTGATTTTTCCAAAAGTCATAACTTTTTACTCGTAATGAGTTACGGAACCCATAATTTATCAAATCGAAGGTATTTCAGAGCTCTACATTCTTGAACTTCAACGGGGTCGGCTGACCACCCCGACCCCAGTGGCGGACACAGGGAGGTGACAAAGGGGGGCTTCTGCCCCTCCAAAAAAAATCTAGGTATATTTACCCCGAAAATTTTAATGTATATGTATTTGTATGTATATTTTTGTACTGCCGCCCCTGCTACCGGAAATTCCTGCGTCCGCCGCTGCCTGACCCCGGCTTCGCCCCTGTTTGCACCCACAAAATCGAAAAGGTCACAATCAATTTTGTCAAGGAAGTACATGCAAATAAAATTTGTTAAGGAATACGGAACACTAATTTATTATTACCACCTAGGACTGATACGCAAAGACATCACATTAAGAGTCCGTTTGATAGTTTACACATTAAAATTTTACATGCAAAATGATTGCATGTAAAGTTTATGTCAGTAATCCGTTTACATGTAAAACAAAAATACATCGCAAATTATACCGTATGACCGGCATACCATGCGCATGGTATGCCGGTCCAAATACGACACCGTTTCTTTAATTAAAAACAAGGTTACTGCATTTTTCTTTCTCCACCACCGTTTCGTAAGCATTACTTTCCCTTCCGGCCTGCTTTCCCTTCGTTTTTCTAGTTGCCAAACTTTCCTCTCTTTTTTATTATAAATATTTTTCTAGTCATTTTCTTTCCTCTTCAATTTTCTGGTTGCCACCCTTCTTTATAAATATTTTTGGTTTTTTGAAAGCTTATAAATATTTTTCTAGTCGTTCTCTTTCCTCTTTTTACTTCTTTTCTTTTCTTTTTTTTCAATTATCTTCAATCATCTCCACTATTAAAATATTAAAAATATGATTACAATTTCTTTTTTCTATAATTTTTTCCTGAAAAATAATTTTTTATCACTTTTATATGTTTTTTGAGGTTTTTAAGACATTGAGTTTGTTTATTTTTATTCTTGAAGTTACATTTGATACGATATCATGAAATTACATCATCTTTTGTGCAACTTACATCTTAATTAATGTGCGCGAGTTACATCTTAATATGCGCTGTAACACCATCCCCAAATATACTTACCTTTAAGTGAATAATGTATTTGAACCTTATGAAATGGTTATTGGATTTACGAAGTTGTGATTTTTTATTTGTTCTTTCGAGTGAGTAGTAAATTTGTACGTTGGGCCCACACCGGGGGCGGGGACCGCTCGATACTCCCGAGACCATATATTTTATTCATCTTGGTCGAGATGATATTTATATAGTGCTGGATAATTTATCTGGGCCAAAGAAAAGACATAATGTGGACCGATTGGCAGGGCCGTCTAGAGTGAAAATGAGGCCCTAGACGGTTATACAGATATTTTGTTTAAATATTTTTTTCAACATAATAATATAAAAATACATAATATCAATTAAACAGAGTAAATTACATATGAAATGCATCATATACTAGTGATACAATGAAAATATTCTTCTAAGGAAAAGATTCAAAATTGACAAAAAATACTTCTTCACACTGATTCTCAAACACAACATTTCTAGTTTTGTACCCTCGTCCTCAACAATATTTGACGGAGAAGGTTTTGTGGTTACGTACCAATTATCGATCCATAGAGTTGGCAAACGATTTTATAACCAAATCCTTTCTTAATTTGTTCTTTCTCTTTGTATATCCCGAATCATGTTTTCATTTTCCCATCATCATAAATCCTACTCTGTACAATTTTATTAATAAAAATAATACGGAATACTAAATAAGTTAATGATGTATAAATATAAATTCAATCCACTATTTTAATTGCATATAAAAGATTATAAGTCTTCACTATATTAATGAAAATAAAAAATTACAATTTTAATATATCAAGATACTTATAATATACCCTAAATCCCTATGTCCTACTGCCCAAATCATTTATTAAAATTAATGCAGAGTGCTCTGAGTGTTGACCCGTTATGTCAATAAGGTAAGTCTTATGTCATTTTCTCAGCTTCGACCTTCTGCCTTCCTACTGGTCCAGCAGAGCCTTGTACAAGTTTTTTAGATTAGAAAATATACATAATACTATTAGACTTATTTCAAAAATTAGAGGCCCTTAAAATTTTGGAGGCCCTAGACATTTGTCTAGGCTTCCTGCCCCTATAGCCGGCACTGCCGATTGGTCAAAAGTGGCTTAATTACCGGTTTTGGTAATTTCTCAGATAACAGCCCGAAATGAATTTCAGAGGCTTATAAATTAAAGTTGGGGAACATATATTCATTATAAGGGCCATAATGAATGATAACGTATGATATATTTTATTTGACCTGATAAAGTAAAATATATTTACACTAGTCCGAAAAATACAACTTTCGAGACCGATTGTACGCTTCTGGACAAAAAGGGTTGACCTCCCACTTGGGTGGGGGCCAACCCACGAATTTGGTCACACAAATTAGATGTTTGGCCGGCTGAAACGATAAAGGAACATGGGAGAGGTGTGTGATGTGAATGGAAAGGAATCAAACAAAAAAAATAAGGTGGGCCTCTCCTCACACCGCTCATACTATTGAGACAAAAGAAGACACTCACCTCCTTCCTTCTTCATCATTTGGCCATACTCTCAAGAGAAGAAGGAAATCCCAGAAAATAGCACCCTCCAGGGAAAGATTCTTACGAGGAAAAACTAGGTGGATTAAGGTAATGACCTTACAATAACATTTCCTCTATTCTTTAACTATCATATGACTTATATATCATATGAAGAACTCTTAGGATTGTTCTACATGTTATGAGTGTGGACTAATGGGTTGGAAGGTGGTTCTAAGTCCAAAAACGGACTTAGAAGCCAAAACGACCGGTTCGCCGGAAAATAACCTTTTAAGGGTTATTTGTATTGATTGAAGTTTTATGATGTTAAAACCTTGTTAGAAACTCGCCAAGGGTATTTTTAGAGCTTCGCCGGAGTTTCGCCGGAATTGGTCAAAGTACGCCGGAGTTAGTCAAAGTTCGCCGAAGTTCGTCAAAGTTCAATCGGGGAGCGTAGAACGCGCTTAAGCTCACTTAAGGTGAGGATGACCTACTATATTGCTTATAATTATTGGGTTAATTTCATAAGATTACCTAAATGAATTAAATGTGTTTAGCATGGATTATTAATGATTAATAATGTCTAAATGAAATTATTATTGATTATAAGTAAAGAATGCATAATATACAAATTTATGAATAAATTGTGTATGATTGTGTGTTATAAATATGATGGCATGATGATTGCTTAACCATAAAGTTTATTGTGATTAATGCACTTTTACTTCATGTAAAGAAGTCATGGAAGGATAAAAGTGACATTTTGATATTAAAGACAACTTATACTCGGATGAGGAATTAAATTGAAATGGACAAATGACTACGAATTAAGAATTCGGTTGTACTAAGGCCAAATGACTAGTATGGAAATACTAGTCGGAAGGTTAGTTCGAATAATCGTTAGAACTAAATCCTAGGATACTAAATTTGTGGTGAGTACGCCTTAAGCGACCTTAAGGGGAAAATTTAAAGATGGACTTTATGAGCTCCAAGTAACATTAGTAGTAGGCCTTAAGGGTTACTCATAATGAATGGAGTCTAGACTAAGAACTTGTTTAGAGATTAGATGACGTGACTATGTGTAACACCCCCATTTTCCCTCCCAAAATAATACTTGAAATAATAGATTTATTGATAATAAACTTGATTTATTCTTTCAAAACATATAAAAAGTTTTGCAGCGGAAATAACATTAAATGGGAAATGGGTGTTACCGCCACATCCGGTCATCTCTTAACCGGATGCACAGGCTATTCCAAAACAAAACAAAGTAGAACAAGTGTTCAACATAACTAAAGTGTTTATTCTTGACTAGGTTTGATTAAGGCATATCTCAACCGCTCTCAAGACCGTGCAAATCATCAATCCAAATAAGCATTATTACATGCACAAATAAAGTGCAGAAAACAAAACAGGGAAAAGGAAACAAAAATTAGCTTTAGAGCTAAGTAAGTACTACCCAACCCCGTAAAATAATCAGTTTTGGCGAAAAATAGTTTTTCATATAATACTATATAAAAATGACACACTCCACCAAAATTCTTTTCTCTTTGATATTTCTCAAAATCACTTCTTTACTAAAGTCCTCAACTTTTCTTTGAAAATACTATAGTAACTCTTCTCTTAGAATTTCTCAAAACTCACTTATTCTCTATCTTCCTAGTAATTTAGAAGGGCGGTGCTCAACACTATGGTTAAGCCCGGTGGTTACATTATTATGTACGGCCACCCCGGGACTTTTGCCGGTACCACAACTGCTAATGGAAACGAAACGAATACCTTAAGTGTGCACACCCCCTAAAAGGGATTCCAAGCCCTCCGAGTAGTAAGTCGTCACGAGTAATCGGGACTCAGTCTACCAACTACCCCACCTTTACAATTCTTGAATGATTAGGGACTACTACTACTATAACTTCTTCTTAAAATGGATCATAGATCCGAACGTCACTTCAAACTCAAACTGTACTTCTTAGTAGTAGCAGCCTTAATCACCCCCACATTTATCCAGATGTGGAAAACCGACACCACGGATTTCTCCCGCGGTGCTCACCTCTTATGAAATCCTTAATTTTATCTTGAATTAAGTATACATAAAAATATTTCTTAATCTCTCTAAATGATATTAAAAATATTTAAAACACTCCAAAAGTATTTCATTTGTATTTCTCAAATACCATAGATCTAATATCTCCTCAAATCACATACATATAATTCAAAATTCACACTTAATCACATAATGCATAATAAGCATATAATACGAGGAAACAATTTTGGATTGGCAGAGAAACTTACCTGAATATGATGCTTCTAATTCTCCTCCTCTATTCTGGTCTTTAAGTAATCACCTTTTTAATTAAGATGATATAATCAGTCACTAATTCTATTTCTAATTGTTTATCCGATTTCCCCCCTCCTGTAATGGTTAATACTATGTATATGTTAATTATCACATTATCCGATTTAAGCTATTTCATTTGTAAATCTGATGTCCGAATGTATGATTACTTTAATTTACTAATCTCCACTAACTTAATTTAGTCTAAAGCAGTCGAATCATAATTTAGTTTAAACTATTACTATAAAATTTCCCAATTAAAAAGTGATAAACTCATTACAAGTGAATAAAATCAGTTATCATTATCATCCTTATTATTATAATTATTTATATTGTAATTGTTATTTCTTTCAAACAGTCCGCACAACAGAACTTAAGTGCAACCCAGTTCTCATTTAAATAGATCCAGTCCAACTATAGGTATATATTATGCGGCCCAATTTTAGATTGAAATCAAAGAATCGGCAATCTTCATGTGTCTTCTTCTTCTTCTTCAACTATACGCCCGAAAAGCGGAGTTACGGTGACATACCTTTCTGAAGACTGACGAGTGGAACGGCGGCGGTAGTGGAATCTTTCTAAGACGGAAAATGTCAGCAGTGGACTGGCGGCAGCTCCTCCTTCTTCCCCGTTTTCCGTCTTTAAGGTTAGCCCGGCGAAACTCCGGCGAGCTATTCCTCCTTACTCCGACGTTCATTTTCCACGATTCTTTCACTGTTGGATTCCTCTCTCGAAGGGGAAGGTCTCAGAAGTGTTTTCAAGGCTCGGTTCTGGCTAAAACGAAGGGTCGAAAATTCGCATATATATATATATATATATATATATATATATATATATATATATATATATATATATATATATATATATATATATATATATACACGTAGTATATATATACATATATGTATATATATGCCGCAGGTTTGGGGATGAAGAGAGCTGAAGGTCTGGTCTGCTTATTTATACTATGACGTTGAAGGTTCGAACAACGCATGTGAGTGTAGGTTGGCGATAAGCTTGGCTTTAACATATACATGTGCGTGAATGTGCATTTTCTTTGTTCGTATACATGGGTCCATTGTGTATGCATGTGAGTTTTGGTCCCTTTAGGTCAACTCTTGTTTGATACAATGTACTAGGATATAATTTAGCCCCAACATTTTCATTTGTGTACGTAGCATTATTTATATGATTATTTGTGGGTGGGTGTTACAATACATTTTGTACAAATCAATGATACTCTTGTATTAAAATGTCACTTTCATTATTTATGTTATATGCATAATTATTACTTGTTACAAAAATGTCACTTTTGTTATTTAAGTCAAAGTCCTATCTGCTCAACATAATTATTATAAAATGTCACTTTTATTATTAAAACATTTTTATCTGGTAAAAAATGTCACCGATGTTAAAATTTTATCTGTTCACTTACCTATTAAGAATGTCACTTTCGTAACCTTTTATCTGACTAATAAAATTATTTATTTTATTTTAATTTTTTGGGGTATCACATTCTACCCTCCTTAAAAGATGTTTCGTCCCGAAACATAACTAAAGAAAATTTTACCCACAAATGAATACCACATCTTAATTAATATTAAATTTTATTTTATTAAATTTATGGAGTGTCACACTATGAGCCGAGCTCTAGCACGTGGTAGTATGACTATGAGCCGAGCTCTAGCAAAATGTAGTATGACTATGAGCCGAGCTCTAGCAAAATGTAGTATGACTTTGAGCCGAGCTCTAGCAAAATGTAGTATGATTATGAGCTGAGCTCTAGCTTTATGTAGCATGACTATGAGCCGAGCTCTAGCATGGAAGAACGTGGGTTAACTATAATATAAAGACGCCCTATATTGAGGGTCTTGAAAATTGAAACATTGATTATACTTAGTATAGTTGTCATTGTACTTTTCAAATGCTTCAAAGTATTGACCTCCCCTTCACGGGGGAGGTTACCTCACAGTTTCAGGTAGAACTTGAAGGTTGCTACTACTGCCCGTTGCTTCGGGGAGATCAAGAGAAGAAGACTTGGTTCGTGCTTCTTCCGCTCCTATATTACAAACAATATGAATGATGCTCATGGATTTATTTTCTAAATATTGATTTTGGGGCTTGTATGCCCATGTTTGCCAAGTGTGGCTTGAACACTTGTAATGTTGTTTCCGCTGTTTTAAAAAATGATTTATATTATGCTTGTTTATGGATGTACTACGTGTGAATGATATTCCAGACGCCTTGTATAGTATGAATGTGTTGGACTGCGGTTTACTATTCGTACTGTACGGCGGGTTGTTGACGTGTCCGGTCGGCCCGGGGCGTGACATGTGTGGGGTACATCTTAATGTATGCGAGTTACACCACGGAATAAACCCTTGCTATATCATTTTTATTGCCCTAATATTAAAAAACATATTCACTATTTATAAATCAATGTTTACATTGTTAGGATCAAGTTACACCATGGAATAAACCCCTGCTAAATCAATGTTAGGATCAAGTTTTCATTGTTTACATTGAAATCAATGTTTATAATATCTCAAACACACACAAATTAAAAATCATGGTTCAATTTTTCAACAAGTTACATTCCGTATACACCTAAGTTACATTTGCTATCAACGCGAGTTACATTTGTAATAACACTAGTTACATTAAAAAATCAACCCCTGCTATTGAAACAAAAAAAATGATCTTTTCTAAAAAATTATTTGTTATGGCCATGATATTAAAAACAAAACATATTCACGTTTTACCTAAAGCAATTGTGCAATTGGACTCTCTTTTTTCATTACATTGAAATCAATATTTTATTTCTTATACTATGTTTTTTGACAAGTTACATTTTGAACGGACTTGAGTTACATTGATCAATAACGCGAGTAACATATCTTTACACGTGAGTTACGTCATGCATGCATGCTACTGGGAGTCTGGGACAAAAAAAAAGTTATTGTACAAGTGTGTACTGTTCACGCGTGTACTGTTCACGCAAATTTTTATTTATTTATTTATTAAAATTGTACAAAACTACATCATTTTGGAAGTGGGAGCATGATGCTCATGATGGGCCGGTTGCATGATATAGGAACTGAGAATACATCGTTTTTTAGTGTCTAATCTATTTAAATTAAACACAAAATATATTAATATATTATATTAAAATAATACGAAGTGTGTGTGTCCGTGTGTATATTAAAATAATAAACCACTTATCAGTTTACACTATTTGGGCTCCTCATTCATATTTCAAGGATCTGAACTCAGAAACATAAATTAATTTCTAGACGCACAAAACATCTCAAATATATGATAAATTTAAAAATATAACTCAAAGCTTGCTACCTGGCTTCTTGAAGTGCGGTGCAGCATAGGTGAAAAAGACATATGGTGGTGAAAGTTCATGATTAAGAAACTTTCTCTTCACCTGATCTGAATGTTTCTGATGTGATTTTTTTAAGTTCTAATATGATCTGATCTGAATTTTTTTGATATGATTTGATCTGATCTGAATCTTTCTGATATGGTCTGATCTGATCTGATCTGAACGTTCCTGATCTGATCTGAATGTTCTTGATCTGATCTGAATCCTTCTGATCTGATCTGAATCTTTCTGATCTGATCTGATTTGAATATTTCTAAAATTATAATTATAATTAAAATTATAATTACTATAATTATAAATGTAATTACACATATATAATTTAGGGCTATGGCGTCAATTATAATTATAATTTTCTTTTGCAGCTACTGTTCTGTCGACAAAATTAGGGCTATGGCGTAAAAAATTAAGAGGCCGTTTGACAACACCGTTTTTCGGCTTTTCAGACTTATCAGCCAACTTTTTCACCAAACACGTAACTTTTGCTTTTGCGTGTTGAACTGTGTAATAAGTAGAAAAAGTAAGGTTGAAATTAACTTTCTGTCTGTATTGGCTGAATAGTGAATACTGTAGATGACCATTTTAGCTATTTTTACATATATTTTTTTCTTTATTTTATTAATAAAATATATTTTAAAAATATTTTTTTCTTAAATCAGCAGAATCAACCAATGCAGCCTATTCAGCCAGAACTTCATAAATTTTAGCAGGATCAGCCGAATCAGCCGATTTTCGTGCTACCAAACGGGTTCTAAATTGATATACTCCGTTTTTATTTCAGCAATGCAGCAATGTAAAGTAGTTCACTACCCTCCCCCCACGTAAAATATTTTACATGGCACGGTGTAAAATGTTTTAAAAAAGGGGGCGTTTGGTAGGATGTAAAATAATTACTTTGCATGCGAAGTGTAAGGACGTGAAATGTTTACACTGTTTGGTTTGATTATTTAATGTAAACTGTAGAACACTTTTTAAAAACATTTCGCACTGTACCATGTAGAGTATTTTACGTGGGGGTGGTAAAATACTTTGCATGCCTTTTATGAAGCACTGCAACGACTTTGCATGCAATTTAAAAATAAATTACACATCTAGCCAAACAATGTAATCTATTTTACATGCAAAATGATTACTTCCCTAGACTCCACTTCACGTGTAAAGATTTAACGTGTAAAGTACCAAACGGGCCCAAAGTGTCACACAATTTACATTAAAAAAAATTAAAACAAATAGTGTAATCCGTTTACACCCCCTCATTTTACACGCAAAGTCTTTACTTTACATTATACCAAACAGGCCCTAAGGAGCAAGTCTATTAGGGTGGCTTTGCATAGAATTGAGTACATTCTAGAAGATCAGTATAGATCTTTTTTGTTAGGGCCATGCTTGATGTATACAAGATATACATAAAATGTGTACATTGTCTGTGTACACAGACAATTTGGGAGGTTTTGGTATCAAATCCTGCCTCCTTTTAAATAAATTATCTGTGTACACAAACAATTAGAGAAAATTTGCAAAGATTTGAGTACACCTCATATATACTAAGAATTTACCTTTTTGTTAACAAGCATGCAACAACACATGGTATTTTTGTAAACAAAAATGATCTTTGTACCCACTTTTATATCCACTCTTGTACCCACCTATGTTTGTGAAGTGTTTTTTTTGTCTGTAAATCCCGGTTCACAGACAATATTTTGCACAGACAATATTTTGTCTGTGAATTAGGTTCACAGACAAAAAAAAACATTCACAAACATGGTAGGTATAAGGTGGATATAAAAGTGAGTACATCAAACATTGTTGTTTTGTAAAAGTCACAATACTTGAGGTATAAAATAATGTTTTTTTAATGTATTGATTTTTACATAGCTTTTGCTGCTTTCACAAGTTAACAATTACATTGCCTCTTGATATGTACAAGACTAAACATGACTTAAACGATCACTCGAGCTTGCTCCACGAGATTGAAGTAGGGGTGGGAAAAACCGAACCGAAACCCGGAAACCGACCCTGGACCGACTCGAATTATGATCCCGGTCCGGGTTTTTTCTTTTTAACCGGACCGAATTCAAAAAAACCCAGACCGAACCCGAAATTCCGGGCTCATTAACGGGCCTTAAAATTTATAACCCGGACCGGACCGAAAAAACCCGAAACAATTAGCTTTAATATAAAATTAATATAGTATATGAATATAAATTTATAAATATTTCCTAATATACGATTATAATCATGGTGGATGAAAAAGTGATTTTATAACTTTTAGTGACTACAAATTTGTTCAATTTTTTAGCGTAATTACCATGAAAATATGTTTATAGCAACTCTATTCACATTTTTATCTATAAATTTTATTTCGTAATATTTTTAAGAAACCTATATTATTTATTTATATGCATCGTAAA